TCCATTTCTAAGGTTCTAAGATAGTCAAAGGGGGGTCCCTAAGGCTAGATCCTAAACCCTAAGAGGAAGACTAGACCTCACAAAAAATGAGGTCAACAGGTGGTCGAAGGTGGTTGGCAGCTAAAGTGTCCGAAAGCTATCCCTGGGTATTTAAAACATGTGTTATATGTTAGTCAAATCAAATGATTGGAATCTAGCGATCTTTTCTAGGTGCAAGCAACCAAATGGGCTCTATCTTTTTTACATCTATACCAAATTTTTAGTACAAATAGTAGCCATATTAAGGCGTCTAATGCTTTTAATAACGTTTTAGTGTGCTCGCACATTCATGGTCAAACCCTTTGTAACGCTTCAAGATTTTAGTAGAAAATTACAAATATAAAGTGCTTATACTTTTTTTTTTCTTGATGTTACATTCTGAAAATGTGGCGTTTACATTCATACCACATCCTAGGAATTTGCATATCTAACACGTAAATTTTGTTTTTTAATATTTATACCACCCAAATCTTTCATATCACATAAAAAATGCCACCATTTTAACTTTTAAAAAGTGAAATACACCTTTGCAGACATAGATAAGGTGGTATTTATGTAGAAATTGAGTTATAGATGTTAAAGATGTAAATACATAGGAATTGAGTGGTATGTATGTAAATCTTCCTTTGAAATTTTGTGCTTGAATATAGGACAAGCTAACCAGAATGCCTCATAGCTACTATTGTACAACAACGTCTTTCTCATGTATTTCCTTACATGGAGGATACTTTATATGCTTCTTCTCTAACTTTAATGATACTTTGTGTATCCTATGTTTGCTATTTTATCAGGAGAAATGCTTTTGCAACCTTTTTGTACTTCTTGCAGGTGAGGTAGTTTCTGAACTCAATTCAGGGGGCTGAAGAGAAGGTGTAGAAGATCCGCACATTAGTTTTTTTTTAGAAAAATTTATTACATACCACTCAATTCTTATGTATTTACATTTTTAACACCTAAACTTGAATTTTTACTTATATGCTGCCTTATCTATGCAGGAAAGGTGTATTTCACTTTTTAGAAGTTTAAATAGTGGCCTTTCTGATGTGATATGGAAGATTTCGGTGGTATAATGTAAAAAACAAAATTTACTATAAACGAGACAATGTACAATATTTACAGTATGTTTATGAGGAATGTGTGTGTGTGTGTGTGTGTGTGTTTTTTTTTGTTTTTTTTGTTGTTATAATTTGTTTAGCATTCAAATGCTAAAGTTGTAAAATTAGGACCTAAAATTGGTTTGGTTTTATGTTTTATATAAAATTTTCATAAAAATATAGTTGTATAGGGAATAAGTTTTCTTTAATTTAGATCTCTCAGTTGCCTGAGATTTCTTTGGTAGAGAATACAAGAATTTTTATTGGTCAATCCTTTATTAGTTCCATCCTAAAGACAAATTTGAGAACACTTTTAGTTTTGACATCTTACTTTGCTTTGGAGCAGGGGTTCAAAAGGTTGTTATTGATAAATGGATGGGTTAATTGTCAATTCATTAATGTTAGGATTTCTTCATAATAACTGGACCTATTGGATCCAATCCATCAATGATGAAAATCCAAAAAGGTACATTGCTGTTGGGGCTTGATTGGTGACAGCTATGTGAACAAATTCACCTTAAGGCCTATTAGTGGATATGAGCTGTATACTATGAAGAACCTCAAGTTGGTGGATCTAATTGACCTTTGCCTCTTAAATTTGTGTTATGAAACTTATAGGTATATATAGATGGCTTGCCTTGAGGCATGCCCCTTGTATAGGTGTATCATGGGGCTTATGGGAATGTAACATAGCTTTATCTTTAGACTTTTAGGGATATAATCCAACTTGAGGGGTGTCATGGGATTTACTTGGTTAATGTTTGATCCATGGATATATGTGAGATTTATGGGATTATAGCCAAGCTGGGGGTGTATGTGGGACTTTTGAGGCTATGGCTCAATCGAAAGATGCATGAAGTGGGTCATAAGTATCATGGAAGATTAAACCACATGTTTGAGATTTGGCATAATGCTAAGATATTAGATAACCTCTTTCGCTCCAGAAGGGATTCATTTCTCTAAAACTTTATAGGTTATCTAAACCTATGGGTGAATAAAACCTATTTAGAGTGACCAAACTAGGCTTGGGGTTAATCAAACCAAATAGGGTAATGAAGGAGTTACATTGTGAGCTATTTAGACTTTTATAACTTAAACTAAGTTTAACTGAGGAGTTAAACTGAGCATGATTTTAGATTTCAATATTCCAAATCAATGTTAATGGAGGAGTTGAAGTGGAAGCAATTTAAGTTTTGATAACTGAGGTTTATCTTAGAAAAGCTAAATGATGGCATTAATTTTGGTTTTGATAGCCCTAAACATGCTTGATGGTGGAGCTACATAAGGAAAATAAATTTTCTTCAATCACATGTTGATGATTGGCTAGAACTTGAGTAAATCAGCAACACCAATTCTCATTTTGCTCATATGCTTAGCAACCTTAGAAGCTTATTTGATTCCGCGGTATGTTTAATTTATTAATATGTTCTCTTTAATTTATGCTACTGGAGCTCATTGAATAAAAATCTAACACCATTAGACATGCATGTTAATAAGTTCTTGATGTTTGGTTCAACTTAGTAAAGCTTTTGAACCACGGGGTTCTTCTTGATTTCTATTGAAACTTTTAGTGAGTTAGAGTTGTTGATTCCCTCGATGCTTGGTTATTACATTAGCTCCACTTAAAATTATAATGCTTGCTTCATACTTTAGCTAATGTTTGTATGCTGACAATTTGTTAAGCTTTGACTCATTTCCTATCTAAAAGCCACTAGCATGATATTTTCTTTATTATTTTTACCTTTTCATACTATTTCTTGATGAGGTTTGTTAACAATTTAAATTGATTTATACTTTTTATTAGACACTTACCAAATATGCATGTTGCTTTTCATGGCCTCTAGCCATGGAGATATGTGAAGGACTAAAATAATTGTGACTTGTGGGAAGATCCAACAATACTAATCTCATGGGATGAATGACTTAATTTTTTTGTTATAATCTTTTACAAAGATTTTATTGTTTCCCACTTTTATAATCATTACGTGATAAGTGATATCGATCAACATCAATAACTATCGCTTTTATCAAACTCCACTAATGACATACTTATTGGTCGTTTATCTAATCTTAAGTCATGTATTTCTTCAGAGAAGTATGGTACCCCCATGCCACTAGATTTTTCTTTGCATAATATGGATCATGCTCATAGAATTTATTGTGAATATGACATCTTTACAAGCAACATTGCTACAATAATCATGTAATATCCTAATCAGTGGTCATTTATAAATCAAGTGTAAAATAATATTAAAAAGATAATCATTTATATAACATATCTATAAATATGTCACTATACAAAAATGAAGTCTTTACCAATCAAGTGATTATGCAATTAGAAGAAAATATTTGGTCACTATGCTAAAATAATGATCATCTATGAAAATTACTAGAGTATTTGCAAATAGTCCCCTATGCTGTACTCTCCTTTTATTCTAGACTATTTTTAGCTCACATAGGTTTTCCAAAATCCTAAAGCTTTCAAATGATGAACATGCACCTTATTAAAGAAAAATTCACCTCTAATATGTGATCAAGGAACTTTTTTCTCTTTTTCTTGCAACACAATCAATAAAAAAATTTTGAGTATTATAATTTGTCAGCCCAAAAATCTTTACCTCCCTTGAGAAATTGATTAGGATGCCTTCAAAAGAAGAATATTGTCCATTGTACGAAAAACATCATGAATCACATCACTGTGTGTACCCGATGGTGTGATGCAATCCATATCATTGACCAAACATTCAATTTACCAGACATAATATTTTCATTTTCAAAAGAACTACAATTCTTCTTTTGCAGAAGTAGAGGATATCCAACTAACTCTATGAATCAATTGAGTGTGAAGGTGGAGGATATCCAACTAACTCTATGAATCAATAAAAAGTTGACATGCCTTTAAAGTTTTAATGCATGCATTATTCACTACATTAAAAAAATTATGATTCATATTCATATTCTTATCTATGCAAATAATAGTTTGCAAGTAGGCATGTGTATGATTTACCTCATTAGCATTAACTCAAGAAACTAAGTCAATGAGATATTTTCATATGAAAACATTGATTAATTAATGAATCAATTCAAATAGTTTTTTTTTTTTTTTCTTTTGTTAATTCCATTTGTAAAATTACCATATTACATACATTCATAATTTAAGCATATTCAAGCTATCTTTCCAAGCGAAATGATTCACGCTTAGTAGCATATTCATCTTGCTATTCATTATGTTTTACTGCAAAATTATGCAAATAAATCCAACCAATATTTGTAATAAGAGTCAAGCATTAGCAGCATCATGTAAAATGACAGTAACATACTGAAACCAAACAAAGATTTAGAAGACTGCTGATATAGCAGGTTAAAACATACTGCAACGTACAGAAAATACAAATATGTTTCAGCATTTGTACTGAAAAGTCTATTAACTGATCATAAAAAGTAAATATTAATCCAAAAAATGTCATTCTGAAAGTTTTTGGAGCTTACAATCATCCTATAGAAATCTTCTAAAACAGCCAAGAACTGACATTTCTAAACTACATTCCAAAATTTCAAACATCTAAATTACATTGAACTTGAATGGGTACAGCAGGATCTAAACTGTGATATAGTAATAATAATAATAAGGAAGATTTACATGCATACCACTCAATTTCTATGTATTTACATATCAAACACCTAAACTTCAGTTTTTACACACTACATAAAACCTTACCTATGCTTGAAAAGGTGTATTTCATAATTCAAAAGTTAAAAAGATAGTATTTTTGAAGTGATATGAAAATTTTGGGAGGCGTATATTGTAAAAAAGCAAAATTTAGGCGTTAGATATGTAAATTCTTATAAAAGCAAAATTTAGGCGTTAGATATGTAAATTCATAAGAATCGAGTGGTATGTAAGTAAATGCCCCTAATAATAAACAATGGTAAATATTACAAGAATAACAACGTGAAAAAGAAAATATATTACATGATTGAATCACAAGAAGCTGTTCTACGGACTACTCTTCGACCGGACTCATCCCGCTCGAAAATCTTCTCGACGACCTCGGCCCAGGTCATTCTATGCCCCACCTTCAGAGATGAAGAAGGGGAATCCTCACTAATTGGACTCGAATTCGACTCAAATGTGCCATAGGGTGAAGGCGAGTAGGCATCTGGCACGGACAATGAAACTGCTCTACGGAGTGCAGCCTTGTGTTCTTCGTTGTGCCCTTTCGCAAGTGACTCCTTGCGGTCCATTCGCTGACTCGGAGGTATTTCCATGGCCTTTTCCTTCTCAAGCATCAGCTGAAATACCAAAACAAATATCATTAATATCATTAGTATTAAGTTTTCACACGGCGAAAGCAATACTAAGGAAGATTAACATACATACCACTCAATCCCTATGTATTTACATATCTAACATCTAAACTTCAATTTCCACATACACATCACCTTACCTATGCATGAAAAGGTGTATTTCATATTTTAAAAGTTAAAATGGTGGTATTTTTGATGTGATATAGAAGATTTGGGTGATATAAATGAAGATTTGGGTGATATAGGTGATATAAATGTGAGCCTTAAAATTAAGGCGTTAGATATGTAAATAAATAAGAATGAGTGGTATGTATGTGAATGTCCCTACTAAGAATTACAACGCTATGTAGTCTTTAAGACTAGATATTACACCATTAAGTATGATCTATAACATGAAAATTACTTATGTATTATATCATAAATATTCATAATAGTTTAATTAATAATCATGCGAGAAACAAAAGGGATGATTGGATGCAGGAGCAATCAAAATTTTAGTTTTAAGACTATATTACAACAATCAAAACTACTGATGCACACATCATCAACCACTTCTATATTTATTTTCAATCCAATGGAAAGTCTCCCCTTGACCCTTTCAATTGCAATTATTTTTTTGCCCAATCATAGCCGTCCATTGAGAAACTTTCATTTGCATATATAAAAAACCAAACTTTAGGCGTTAGATATGTAAAAACATAGGCATTGTGTGATATATTCGTAAATTCTCCTTTACTATATAACTACATACATATATATATCTAAAATATAACATAAGCCAAATGCCACCACCTTAGGCTTATATGTTGCTCCTGAGGAATCATCATAAACTTTTGAGCACTACAAAATTTGGATTTGTTTGATTAAAAGAGAGTTTCAAAGCTTACATCCAGAGCCCACTGGCATTCTCTTTCTATCCAAATTATAGCATGATCAGACGTGGCATTGCATGATAGGACAATGTGCTCAAACCTGCCATCAACCGGCACTGCTGTTTTCACAACTGGGGGCAATCTTCCACACCTGACGAGCAACAGAAAAACAAAATTAAAAGAAGAAAGTCAAATGTGAAAATCAACTAAAAATCATGTAGAAGCATGCTCCAAGATCAGTTATGGATCAGGATTCTTAACAGGAACAAATTACAAATACACCAAAATTTGAACAGAAGGGGGAGTTTTAAATTCATTTACATCCAGCCAAATGATAAAAATTAAAATTTCTTGTATTTGATTTACATTACACCATTAATGCTGGCAACCAAACGAGAAAAGTAAATGGCTTACAACACCAGAAAAAAGAAGAAGAAGCTGGAAATGTTGATCATTTGCTTCACATGTAAATGACCATGATCTCAAAATAAAACTTGCCTGAATGGCTTCCTTTCAACAATGTGATATAGTCGACCTGGAGCGTATAGCCGTCGCGGGTCTCTTAACATGACTTCTTCCGGTATACATGTATCTCTCATACACCTTAGACACAACAAACAAGGCAAACTGTAGGAAAAAGACAACACATATCAGTTTTCTAATATACCGCCGAAATGACTTGAAATAACCAAAAGTACATAATATATTCATTTATAAATATACCATTAACGAAAGCCATTGTATTTTTTTTTTCAAGAAGCCGTCCTAATAGGTTCCGATTTCATGCTTCGTTACTAAGATGAAGAAGGTGCATGAAAACTGAAATTTTATCAGAGAATTGATTTGACAGGTTAGATTAGAGCGAAGGAATTTAAGCAATAAACGTGATTATTACAAAAAAAATACTTGAAACAAAGGTGATTGCTAATAAGGCCATTGCTATTGTTGAATTGCTTTCCCTATTATCATAAATTCCATTTAATCTTCCATTACTTTTATCTCTTGACCAGAACAATCCATCCATCAAATCAGGTGCAGCTATGCTTCACAATAAAAACATAGAGAGGCACGGTGGGCGGGCGGGCGGGCTGGTGGAGGGGAAGTTACACGCATACCACATAATTCTTATGTATTTACACATCGAACACCTATGGTTTGATACTTACATTTATAACAGCTTGGTATTAAAAAACTATGCATGAAAATGTGTATTCACTTTTCAAAAGTTAGTGATAATAGAGGTATGTATCCTCTCCAATATCTTAAAAGAAGGACACCAACTAATATGTCAAGTGATTTTCTGTTATCACCACTCATTACGTTACTTTATGCCTTTTCTATAGATGTTTCTTTTTGGCCTATAAAAGGACTAGTACCTAAAAGTTAAGAGTGAGGAAAAACACCATTATGAGCTCTAGCTTCCCCATCTTTTACCTTCTTCTCGCTACAGCTCTTTTACAGTGAAATGGATTCCTCCACAGGTAATTTCTATACCTCATCCTCACTGTTTTACGTGGTATTAGAGCCCATTGCTTAACCGCACATAGGAAGCCTCTTCCACCTCTACTTTCAACGAAGGTCTAGCCTCTCTCAGCTTTAAAGAGCAACCGATTCCTCTCTCCCTCAAGTTTCTCGTCCCAAGCATCAAGAATGTCTTCACCACCCCTCTCTCAACTGACAACAACCCATTATGGCGATCTCAGGTTTTGAAGATTATCAAGGCCAATGGTTTTATAGGCTTCATCAATGGGTCTATACCAGAACCGCCTCACAGCACAAGAAATGCCGCCGGCACATCCACTCCAAACCAAACTTACAACACATGGATGCTAGTAGACCAAAATTTGGCAGCAACCCTACCATCCACGGTATCAAACACTATACAGTCTATGTTATTAATTTTGATAGCTGCAATGAAATGTGGGTCACGTTGGAAAAACGCCTACAAGCCACAAACATTTCAAAGGTTATACAACTCAAAAATGAGCTACACAATGTGTCAATGAAGAACCAAACCATGGCACAATAAGTAACACAAATTAAAGTCCTAGTAGATAACATGGTTTCATCTGGTTCCTCAGTTGATACAGAGGACATTATACTCTACACGCTTAAAGGACTGCCACCTACATACCAGACATTCAAAATAGCAATCTGGACCTCTCTAACCCCAATCAGTCTCAAAGATCTATACTCTCTCCTCCAAAGTGGTGATAAACATCTCCAACAATAACTCCACTAGCCCACAACAACCAGATCTACATATGGCTCTATACTCACAATGTGGAAGAGGCCGCAACTCTTTCCGTGGGTGTGGAAGAACATTAATCCATCTAGAAATCCACTCGATTAGTAACAAAAACAACAGAGAACCTCCCCGCCAAGAACATGTCAAATTTGCGGCAAAAAGGGCCATCTCACCTTAGATTTTTGGCATCGTCTGAACATTAACTACCAATCCAACAAGTCGGTGGAACATAAAGCTTTACTAGCTCCCTTAAGCCAAAATTAGGATTGGTACCTTGACACAAGTGCTTCAAATCATCTTACCAGCTCCACCAACCCGAGCCCTACCATAGTCAAGGCAAATCTTCATTGGTAACGGTAATGTTGTGTCCATTTAAAATTCTAGCCAAGAACTTCTCCCAACATCATCACGTAAGCTTTTCCTTTCAAAACTCTTTCATACTCCTCAAATCGCCCACAATCTTATCTCTATCTCACAACTCCCATTTGAAAATAATTGTAAATTTGTATTTAATGCATCTAGCTATCAAATTCAGGATTTGACTACACGCCAAACACTCCTCCAAGGTCCGTGTCGTGATGGACTCTACCCAGTACCCATCGTAAAGGAAGCCATGCTCTCCCGATCTACCTCTGCTGATCTTTGACATCATCGATTCAGTCACCCATATGAAAAATCCTTATTTCTCTTTCTAAACAACACCCCTAGCCATGTATTTCAAAACTTGCTTCATTTTGCACTTCATGAACTACAACTAAGCAACATAGAACACCTTTCTCCCCCTCCAAAAATCATACTTACAAGCCTTTAGCACTTATCCATTCAGATGTATGAGGACCTTTACCACATGTTTCCAATCAAGGTTTCTATTTCTATGTTATATTTGTTGATGATATTGCAAGATATACTTGGGTAACTCCCATGACACAAAAATTAGAAGTTCTAACTCATTTTATAAAATTTAAACAAGAAGTGGAGAAAAAAATTAACATATCTATAAAATACCTAAGGTCTGATGGCAGTGGTGAATACAGGAACAACTAATCTAACACCTTCCTAGCCACTCACGGTATCATTCACCAACTTTCATCACCTTATATCCCAAAACAAAACGGTATAGCTGAAAGGAAACATCGCCACATCCTTGAAATCGTCAGAGCACTCACAACCACATCCAACCTACCACTCCAATTCTAGCCTGATACAATCCACACTAAAGTGTGCCAAATTAAACGTATGCCTTCACCCAACACCCTCCATCAATCCCCATAACAATTACTCTACAACAAACCACCCGACTATAAACATCTTTGAGCATTTGGATACGTTTGCTATCCATGGTTCCCTCCATCATACCGCCACAAAGTCACTCAACGCTCCACCTAACATTTCTTCCTCGGCTACTCCGACAACATTAAAGGCTATAAGTGCCTCGACCACATAAGCGACAAAATCTCCATATCACGCCATGGTACCTTTAACAAACATTCATATCCCTACAAACAACCTTCATCCTCCTCATGCACTATCACATCGCCTCCCAATCCACACCCATTAACACTGCTCCCTTCGTCTGTCAATACAACTCATTTCCATCGCCACCAAAACTAGCTGAATAAACTTCTCCAAACTCTACTTGAACTACTGCCCCTGCTCAATTCTCTACCTCACCCATGACTTCCCCCACATCTCACACCTCATCTCCACCTCATACCACTCGAAAGACTTACCACATCATCAAATGATCACTAGATACAAATCTGGATCCGTTAAACCCAAATCAAACTTCAATCTACAACACTCTGTTATCAACCAAATTGAGCCACTAACATTTCAGGAAGCATCAAAATATCCAAACGGTGGGTGCAAGAAATGAACGAAGAATTCAACGCTCTCCAGAAACAAGGAACATGGACACTAGTGTCTAAACCACTCGATCAACCCATTCTACGAAGAAAATGGACTTATAAAATCAAGCGCCACTTCGATGGTAGCATCGCTCACTATAAGGCTAGACTCGTTGCCAGCGGTTACCAGTAGGAATATGATATGCATTGCACCAAAACCTACCAAACCACCATCCGTCTTCTACTAACGGTCTCAACACTTTACCACTGGCTGGTCCTTCAGCTTGATGTATCTAATGACTACCTTCATGGCGACCTTACGGGGACAATATACATGCAGCAACCTTTGGGCCACATCAATCCACATCATCCCAAACATGTATGTATTTTACGAAAAACACTCTACGGTCTTAAACAAACCCCGCGTCGGTGGTTCAATACCTTCAACGAACATCTCCTCCAACTTGGCTTTCACAAAAGTCAAGCAAACTCGTCTCTGCTCATATACCATCACAACTCCACAGCTCTATCACCTCCTCTACGTGGATGACATTTGAATTATAGGAAACAACTCCAAATCAATTGATGATCTACTTCTAAGGCTCAAGCATAAATTCTCCACGTAAACCTTGGACCCGTCTCCACGTTTCTCGGCATAACCACTATACACACCATCCAAGGTATGTTTCTTCATCAAATAACTTATGCTTTGAAGATCCTCACCAAAGCAGGCCTAACCGAATTCAAACCCTCACTAAACCCGTTCTCTTCCTCAAAGCAAACACACACCGACGTGAACCAACCATATCCCAACCCATATACCTACCGACAATTAGTTCGCTCGCTACAATACCTAACTATAACACGTCCCGACATTACCTATGTTGTTAATACCCTCTCCCAACATCTCCAACAACCAGTATGCATCCACTTCAAACAACTACTTTGTTACATCAAGGGCAACCTTGGCTTCGGTCTACCTGTTACACCCAGGCCTCTTATTCTTCACTCATTCTCCTATTCCAGCTAGGCGGATGATCCACATGACCAAAGGTCCACCACAAGCCATTGTTCATTCCTCAGCAACAACCTCATCTCATGGCAAGTCAAGAAGCAACCAAAGGTAACAAGGTCATCAACTAAAGCCAAAAATCGAGCTCTTTACACTGCAACCACCGTCTTCATATGGCTCCGTCGGCTCTTACACGAATTTCAAATCTCAGACTTACCCCCCACTATTATCCACTCCGACAACATCTATGTTCAAGCAATAGCTCGTAATCTCATGTTTCATGCTCACACGAAGCACATTGAGATAGACAATCACTTCATTTAGGAAAAAATAATAGCTAAGGAGATTGATATCAAACATATTCTCACTACAAAAAAAATCGCTGATATCTTTACAAAGTCGCTTCCCACACCTCAATTCAACTCACTTCAACACAAGCTGACACTTCAACAAAGTCCAGCATCAGCTTGAGAGGGGATAATAGAGGAATGCTCTCCACTACCTTTAAAAAGGACACCAAATAATATCTCAACTGATTTTCTGTCACACCATTCATTCTTTTACTTTGTCTTTTCTCTAGATGTTTCTTTTTGGCTTATAAAAGGACTTGTACCTAAAAGTTAACCGTAAGGAAAAAAACTATTATGAGATTAACTTCCCTCTCTTTTACCTTCTTCTCACTACAGCTCTTTTACCGTGAAATGGCTTCCTCCACAGGTACTTTCTTTACCTCATCCTCACTGTTTTACAAGTGATAGTGATATTTTTGATATGATTTCAAAGGTTTAAGAATCATATAAATATGAAAGTATATGTGTTATATATGTAAATATATAAGAATTGTGTGTTAGGTATGTAAATACCCCCTTTTTTATAACAACAGAAAATAAGGACTTCTATTTGTTCGTGTAAACTAAATCATTGTGATATCTATCAATGTTTTTTCAGTAGACCTCATTGCTACCAGTTGAAGTTCAATGAAGAAAGAATGATGCCTATACCAGAAAAGTGACTTGAAAACGTCTTCCAAAGGAGTAGCTGTCCGAGGTAAGAAATCATCCTGCAATAGAGATCATCAACAAAATTCAAGTTAGCCATTCTGCAAAATAGTTAGAAGGCTGAAGTTAATTCTAATATCAAGAGGAGAAAGATGTAAAGATTTTAGAAGTCTAAAAATATCATCTAAAATCTTCATGAAATAATTCCAGCATTCACCTACTTCATTCAAATAATCAAAATGGTGCCATTCTTCAAAATAGTTAGAAGGCTGAAGTTAATTCTAATTTCAAGAGGAGAAAGATGTAAAGATTTTAAAAGTCTAAAAATATCATCTAAAATCTTCATGAAATAATTCCAGCATTCACCTACTTCATTCAAATAATCAAAATGGTATTTAGAAGGGTCAGTAGGCTATGAATGTCACACTCATTTCATATATATATGATGAGTGTTGCATGGCCAAAACATATGGCTGATGTAATTTGTGAAATTTATTAGGGTTGGCTTGCTTATTTTGAAAAAAAAATAAAAACCATTTCATTTAGTAATGGCATTGGCACACAGAACATACATCACAGAATATTTAGATGCAAATTCTTTTCTTAAGGTTAAAAAAAGAAGAGACATTTACATACATACAACCCAATTCCTATGTATTCACATATCCAACCCCTAAATTTTACCTCTTACATTTTTTACCGCCCAAATCTTCTATGTTACATAAAAAATATCACTATTTTAACTTTTTAAAAGTGAAATACACTTTCATACATTGAAAAGGTGATATGTAGGTAATAATTGAAGTTTAGGTTATGGATATGTAAATACATAGGAATTAAGTGGTATGTATGTAAATCTTCCAATAAAGAAACAGTTTAAACTCTCCGCAAACATACTGAATTGTCAAAACAAAGCAAAAAACCCAAGGAAAAAGAAATACAAGCTTTTTAATTTCACAAAGCCTATGATATGACAAAGGAAGAAGGCCAAGACATGCAAAAAAACAAGTGATTGTCTTCTTTGGCCTTTTTTCACACATCTCTAAACCTTCTATCATCCATCTAATCATCACTCACCCCCAAAGCATAAATATGTAGTAATAGATCCAATGTGCACAAAAAAACGAGGACAATAAGCATCAACTACAAGGCCTTGAACTAAGGGTCTGTTTGGGGCAGCTGCAGCTTATCCAGCTTCTGCTGATAAGCAGCTTATCCTGATAATCTGCTGATGACCAGCTGATCCGGATAAGTTGTCTGGCTGTTTGGTTAACGCGTCTCGAAAACAGCTGATTGTGAAAAATTGACCCTTTTGCCCCTGGTCTGAATAAGCAGTTTAGTTGTTTGGTTTGTGCGTTTTGTAAACAGCTTATTTGTAAATTTTTTGAGTTGAATGAATAATCTGTGTAACAGAATGTTATTTTCTCAGATGTCTAGAAATGAAATTGCAAAAAAAGTTTAATAATATTTATATAACTCAAAAAAGTTGTGATTACATCAAGAAAACATAGTGATATAAAGGAAAGTTCAATACATATTTATGAAACTCTAATATGGATTATAGAAAGACCCAAAAAAAAAGAAGAAATAACATGTTAAAATTACAAGAAAAAATATGACAAAATTGAGTTTAACATGTAAAGTCACATCATGACGAATGTTGCCCGTTTCTGATACCTCTAATCTCCGAGCAAGCGTGTCATTCTTACCCTAAACAACATCCCAACATAACCATTCAGAACAATGTGCCAACTGGAGAACAAATACCCCTATGAATGCAAAGATCACAACAAACCATAGACAACAACTCATTAGATAATGTGAAGACAACCTACTTGTATAGGAATCCAAAAAAACCTACATGTACGCAACCATAGCTGTCATATAACAAAATAAATACCACCATTTTATGCATAGGTAAGGTGGTTTACATATAAAAATTGATTACAGATTCCCAACCATAAAAATCCAACATACCCTAAATTCATCCCCACCAAATTGGTCATAACATAGTAGTGGTTGCCATCCAAGCTACATACATAGCTATGGGGCCATCCAAGCTACATATAGATTGCATATACTCCCAGCTTCTCAAAGCTGAAACTGTATCAGATTTGCAAACATACATTTCCCAAAACTACAGCTGAAGTACCAAACTATATAAGAGGCATGGCTTCAATGTACATACCAAAGATATAAGATTACAACCATGGCATAAATGTGAACCTTTCCTTCCAAAGTGCATGGCTGCAGCTGCTTTATTACCAACTAAGTAAGATCACAAGCATGGGATAAGCTTTAAATGTAATTTGCCAAAGAAAACCCCATTTTATCTAACCAAGCTTTATAAAGCAACCATATAAAGATTACCAAGCCATATAACAACTTCCATGAATCCAAGCTATGTAGGAACTTCCATGTATCCAATCACTATAAACATATACAGCTATATGAAGAATGCTATTTATA